TGGGTCACAGTTGCCCATGAGTGGACAGCGAGTGCCAGCGCAAAGGAACCCACAGAGAGGTGCTGTCTGAACACATATTGTTAGCACAGATTAGAAATATTTTTAATGTGAGATGTCACTCTCAGGGAAATTTGTAAAATACTTGTGCAAAACAGTAGGCAGTGTGACCAAAGGCCTGTTTTTAATTCTCATAGGGATGTCTTCGATGGAAATAGGATATTTCAATAAAGGTGTAGTATTAAAATGATATTTATTGTAGTATTATTTGTAAGAGCTCCAGACTGCTATTATTTACATATCCAATCACATGGGACTAATTCAGCAAGTTATGCTGTATCCAAATGAAGAAATAATGCAGAGCTCTTAAAATGATTACATGTATTATATTATTACATGTATTATATAGGTTATTCCTTAGTAAGATTATTCCTTACCCTCCAACTCGCTGTTATAATAACTTGAGAATAAAATCACACATAAGTTTTGCTTTTTTATTTTCTTTAAATCTTTTGGTGTTTTCCCTTCTAATGGTATTAAAACTTTTATAATCTGAGTAAAAAGGTACAATTAAATAATTTCAGTCTAGGAAGAAAAATTTCATTTCTCTTCGTGGTTGACTATTGATTATTCTTGACAGTAAGTGGAAATAATTGCATGCTTGTACCCCACTGGATCCAGTCACTGTTTCTTACTTTATTGTTTTCATATTATTCATAATCCTTCAAGTTAACAGATAAGTTTATATGGAAATTGTTGGAATCTTGAGCCCAGAATGTTTCAAAGAAGAAAATATGGTCAGTTTCATAATTTTTTGTCTCAGTTGAAGTTTTCAAAAACAGAGCTACTTTTTGGAGAGATTTGAGAGTACTTGGGGAGTAAAATTGATGGGGTCTAAATGATAATTTGTTTTCTTCAAGTAGAAATAATTGCCCACCTTTCATCATATTTTTATAGGTTTTTTTCCCCTGTGTGTATGCAAGTATGTAAAATGGTAGAATGATTTATAAACTATTTTATAACTTACTTTCAGTGGGTCTATTAGTAGTGGACATATGAATATAGACTTACACTTTTGATATTGATCTACAGAGCAGTTAAGGTATAAAAAGGAACGCCTCTAGGAAGTATAAAACTTTCAGATACATATAATTTAAGGTTTGAAGCAGCAAATTTATCAGGTTTATATTTGACTTCATAACAAAAAATTCAATTAACAGTGATTTAAATAAGATGAAAGAAACCTCCAGATCTCTGCTATAGTGACTATACTTTTATACAGGAGTTTAAAATATATTGATCATCAGGCTTAATACTGATAATAAAATACAGTCCTAGTTCAAGTTAACGTACAATTAAATATTATCTTCCTAATCAGTGAAAGATCATATTTCCCCATGTTTTATGTAGAGAATAATTGAATTCACATTGGTCAGTATTATCTAGATCAATTCTTAATTTTAAGTTTGTATTTGGAAAAAAAGAGATGAGTATTAACAGGAGAAGGGCAGCATCATTTCTCTCCACAGGGGAAAGAAAAGCAGTCTCTTTTCAGTGTTGTGTCTTTGATGTCAGTATCAACTATGTTGCTATTTGATCTTTAAAAATTGAGTAAAATTTTACTTTAAAAATTTAAGTAATTTGGGCCCTCCCTGGTGTCGAAGAGGTGGTGGTGGTGGTGGTGGGGTGACCCACATGGTGGGCCAGAACTCTCCTGACCCACCCGCTGCTCCAATCAGCAGTGTACTTGTCAGTCAGCCTGTTCTGCTCCCCACTCTGTCTCTGGTGAATCCTCTCACCTCCCCTGCACTTCTGGCCTGTACCCCAGCTCTGTATGAATAAATAAATAAATCTTAAAAAAAATAAATTTAATTCATTAAGCTTTAAAATTTCTTTGCATTCATTTGTATTTGCTTTATTGTAGTATTTTCTTTCAGATGAAACTGACTTAGTTTTATTCTCATCCCTCCCCCCCATCTGTTCATTTACACATCATTTTCTAAGTTCATTTCATGTTCTCCTAGTGATTTTGAACCTTTTCACTGAGGGGGTGAACTCTTACAATTGCTTGACTGGGTTTGCCCTGATTTTCAGTGCAAGTGATTTGTATTACTGTTCACTCTTTAGCTGTAAACATGTTCAAACATACTTATCAAAAACTAAACATTTTCATATGCCTTCTTTTCCTTAACTTTCATGATTTGTCACTCCAACAATGAACACCTGTTGGTGTTTACATCCTGTGGGATAGGTTGCAAAAGCATCTTGGAAAGAGAATGAGTTCAGTCTGGAAGCTTGAAAATAACTAGTTATAAATGAATGAAATTTCTCTTTTCTTTATGGAAAATTGAAAAGATGCTTCAAGCTGTGCTTATGTTAGATTTGGCATCACAGCGTGCATTGCAAAGATACTGCAGCAGGAGGCCTGTTGTGAAATTAGATTAAAAAACAGTGGTAAACTGAATTTCATTTGTGAATGTTTTTACAACTTAACGTTTGTTTCTGCTTCCTATTTAAAAAAAAAAAAAAACAGCACAGAATGTTTTAAAAAATGTAACAGTGCACCAAAGAACAGAGCAACAGACAGGGAGCCTGCCCAGATGCGACTGACTTCCTGCGAGCAGCGAAAATACGTTTTCCACTTGATCCTGCTTCTTTTTTTTTGCGTGTGTGTGTGTGTGTGTGTGTGTGTGTGTAAACTGTTGGTAAACCCAAAGCCTTTTTTGAACATCATCAGAAGCTTGGGTCAGTTTTTTCAGACTTTGGATACTTCCGAATGCAAGGAGAAAGAAAAAAGACAATGCTCATTTTCCATTTAATCCAATCTCACTGACCTCTGGGATGTGAGACAGACGGCGGGCTTTACACTGATTTAGTTGTGTAGTCTCCCGGGATAATGGACACTCCCTTCTGTGAACATGCTCCCCAAATTCTATTTTCTTTGCCCTTTACTGTTCATTCTCCAGAATCCCTAAGGTGTTCCTAAGCTACCTTCCGTGCGGGATGCCCAAAAGGTAGGGGTGCCCAGACCGCGGTCTGGTTATCTCGCAAGCGTTGGCCTGGAACTGCTGAGTGGCGGTCCAGGCGGAAACACAGCCCTGGACACAGCTCGGTACGCGGACGCGCCGCCAAGACAACGGCGCCGCGCCACGTCGCGGCCGAGGGGCGGGGAAAACGCGGGCGCGGGACTAGTAGGGACGCGACCGCCGAAGCCCCGGGCGTCGCCATGACGACGGCGGCGCGCGCGGACGGCGCCCGAGAGGTGGGGACAGGGGCGGGGGATGTGAGCGCGGAAGTCCCCGCCCCCGGCCTGCTGGGCGGCGGCCACCGCAGCGGCCCGCAAGGATTTGAAACCGTTTGGCGGCAGCGGTGGCGGTGGCTGGCCGGAAAGCTTGCATGTAGGGGCGCCAGGGTCTTGTTTTTCCCTCTCTCCCTCCCCCGCCATCACCCCCGGCTTCTCCAGTGGAATTTCGCGCGGGGTGACGGCCGCCCCACCCGGCGGGGTCGCTCGGGGAGGGGCGTCACCCCGCAGGCCCCGGGCCCGTTCTCGGAGTCTGAGGGGCGCGCGCCCCGCTCAGGGGTCCCAGCGCGGCGCCCGGCTTTCACTTGCACGGTGAAATCTCCTCCGGGCAGGAACCGGGGAGGAGCTGAGTAAAGTTTGACAGGCGGCCGGAGGTCCAGAACTCGGACCAAAGCGTTTGCCGCCCGTGAGAAGGAATCTGTGTACTGGACAAGGTAGGAGAGCGGCCTGGGCCTCAGGGCCCTCGCCGGCCGCCTGCTGCTGCCCAGTCTGGCCCTGACGCCGCTGCGGCACCCCGCGCCGCTGGACTGGTCACTTTCCTGCAGGCCGGGGTCCGCGCCTGTGGGCCGCTCCCTCAGGGGGGTCTGTCCTGGCTGCGGTCTGTGTGGAGGACCCTGCCCAGCACCTTAGCGTGCGGGTGCTGCCTGTCCAGTTGTGTTTACTTCTGAGTGTTCAGGAGAACGGGACGTGTGAAGGTGAACAGCTTTTATTTTGACCGTGCGGCTGTTTTGATTATGTGCTTGAATATTTACCCAGGAAAATAAGCCGGAAGGGCAAGTGAAAGGACCCCCAGTTGCTGGTCGGAAGTGGCCAGGGAACAGTGCCTGTCTCTTCAGGTGATGAACGGGGATACGCTTGTAAGTCACAGAGCATCCTCCTGGCACAGGCTGGGAAGGTTCCAAGGCTCTGGGAACTGTCCACCCATCCACATGCGTGAGCCACTGAAACACACACCTGTGTACCTTTTGGTGTCCTGAAGGACGTGTGTCCCGTTTCAGTGGACTGCAGCTATTTAAAATACGGTTTGACTGAGCAAAGCGGATTTAAGCGGCTTTCAGGAGTGTGGATGAGTTGTTGGGCAGTGGCTGCTTTTCCCCCAAAGCCTTGTGATATTCGTGTCTTGCTCAAGCTTTGCTGACTCCTGCTAAGCGTCTTGAGAAGGTCTTAGCCCATCTTACAGCTCTGTACTTAGAAACAGGGCTAAGAAAAGATAATGCCAGTGAGTTCAATCTAAGTCCTGCACCAAATGTGGTTTATACCCATATGAGAGGCACTCAGTTTACTTCTTTTTTAAAAAAATATATGTATCACATCATCCTTCATTTTTGTACAGTGTGTGTTTTGCTGTGAAATCCCCACCACCACTTCCCCCCTGCACCATCACCACAATCCCTTATGCTCTTCCCATTGCTTTTTTGAAGTCATTTTATGTGAGTAATAGGGAGTCTCTAAATATTTTAAGCCAAAGTCAAAGATGTAACTTTACTTATTTTCCAATTCTAATAATTTAAATTTGCAGTTCTAATAAACAGTAATAATTTTTTTTTTGGTTAGTTGGCACAACGAGGATGCAATTTATAAGATGTAGTTTGTATAGTAAGAGCTTTTTGTAGGTTTGAAATGGTAATTTCTTTTTTGTTTTTGGTTATCTTTTCTCGGGATAAGGGATCAGGAAAAGCAGTTTTGAACTTATCAAATGTCACATTGACTATTGTGTTTTTTTTTAAATATCTATTCCAATGTTGATAGCATGATAGCAATTCAGATGACCTTTCTGTTTTTCAAAATGCTTCTTTATTAGTTGAAGCTGTTGGGGACTAACATGTCAGTGGCCACAGGGTCAGACATAATGGATCTGAGAGCTGAGGTTTTTAGAATACTGTCTGAGTTTTCTGCTTAATTTCAAGACTTTGGGTGACTCTTTGGGTGATTTCCTCCAGCTTGTCATGTCAGAAGCCTTATTGAGAATTAGTGATTATTTACTAGGAATCTTTTGGCTTTAGCACTAGCTCTGGGTGATCTCAGAGAAATGTTTGAATAGCAGGTAGGATACACTCTTGAAGCTGCGGGTACATGTCTAGGCCAGAGCTGTGCTTAAAATTCTGGGTCCTTGAGTTTCTGTTTCTTTGCCCCTCCATTTGAGTAGTGGCTTTCCAGCATTATGATCTAACATCTTGCAGCGGTATCATAACCTTCTGTTACCAAGTTTGAAACAGGTGTGGTTCTGTATGGATGCGGCTAGTTATTATAGGAATGCAAAAAAAAAGCTGACTGAGCACACAGCCTCTCGGCCACTCACCAATCAGAACGTGCAGCTAGATAAATTGATGTTAACTACATTTGAGTTTGAACATATACTCTTCTACAGTAATGTAGATGGCAGGATAAAACCAGTTGTGGAAAATGCGATTAAGGGATTAATGGTATTTCTATTCTGGAAGACCTGTTTGGTACTCGGAACAGGAATATTGAAAACAGCCATGTTAAAGTGGGACATTCATCCTTTTAGCTTCTGTCTTCAGCACGTTAGGTAGCATGTCATGTAATGTGCCGGGCACGTCCCGTGGCTTGTCATGTGATGTGCCGGGCACGTCCCGTGGCATGTCATGTGATGTGCTGGGCATTAAGAACTGTGCTTCTGCCTCGCAGGAACATCTCACAGAGGGTAGAAACTTGTCAAGAATACACAGACATGTACAGAATAGCTGCACATGGATGCTGTTATGTAGGCATGGGTGGTGCACACTGCAGTTGGAGCAATGAGTCTGGAATAAGTGGGGTGAATGTAACTCAAAGGTAACGTTTAAGCACCGTTTACCTGCTTCAGGCCCAGGAGACGGCCTTCGAGAAGGATGAGGAATCCTACAGGCTGAGGGCATTTGAAGGATGGTGAGCAGTTCCCTGGGGTGACACGGACGCTGTTGGCTGGGGGTGGTCAGGCCATGTGTGCGTATCGAGGTAAGAGATGTGCTCAACACGTGAAGGCACTGCTTGGCCAACTTTGGACTTGAATGGCTTCCTGTAACACAGGCAGTCAGGAGAGGCGCCGAGGGAGGGAGAGACATGCTTCGCTTTGTTTTTAGGGAGCTCCTTGCACCAGAGCACCCGAGTCCATCCAGTGGGGAAACTGACAGTGGGCGCCAGATTGTTGCCCCTGTTCGTAAGCAGAGGAGGGCTCCTGAGGCAGTGCAGCAGAGTAGAGATCAGGTTTGAGACAGCGCCAAGTATTTGTTGACAGACTGATGGGGTGTTAGAGAAGGGAGCAGTGGAGAGGAGGGGTGGAGATGGGAAGTGTCAGAGGCAACGTAGGCATTGGCACTACAGAGGAGAGGTACTGCTTCTCACTCAAGTGAAAGGAGGTGAGGATGTGTTTTCTAAGAGGGGCCTGAGAGGTGGAGGGAATAGCATTTGGGGGTGTTCCGTCACCTGACATTTTTTCCATGAAGCAGGAGATCAGGTTTTTAAAATTGAGGGGAGGCTGGGGCAATTTAAGGGGCTTTCTGATATCTGAAAAAAAAAAAGTTTTGTTTTTTTTTTAAATGTCTGGTCAAAGCTTAAAAGCTACCCGTGGAGTAGAAGGTAGTAGCATCCCAAGGATTCATGTTGAGCGTGAAGCCATCTGACTCCGAGGCAGCACTGTTTTCTCCAACAAATGCCGAGTTAGGGAATGGAGGAGCTGATCTCAGTGTTGCTGGGAGTAAAGAGCAGAGGAGAAAGTGAGAGATTTAAGAAATAGAGGCTGCGAACAGATAGCAATTTTTGGGACATGGCAGGGCTAAGACTGGGGTCATGGGCTGTATTCATAGGAAGGGTACCTCCTAAGAGGGGGTTTGGGGGTTCAGACTAGGAGAGCAGCAGTTAGGAAGTGGCACTGTGGCTCTAGTAACTGTTAATTCCTGAGGAAGGTTGGGTGGAGAGTGAGACTCCAGCGTTCACGCTGCATACCTTGGTTCACTTGTGGCTACTAGGAAGGAAGTCAGATTGGCATGAAAGCTAGTATTGACTCCCATAGAATAGATAAATAGCAGCCACTGCAGCATGAGTTTGATTCTGGGCTCTGGAGGTGACCCACATGGTATGGGAGACCTCTCCTGTCTCCCGACTGCTCCCCTCAGCATCATCCTGCCTTTCTGCTCCCCACTCTGTCTCTGGTGGATCCTTTCACCCCCTGCATCTTTGACCTGTGTCCTACTTCTTGAATGCATAAGTAAGTGAATCCTAAAAAAAAAAAAAAAAACTGAAAAAAATAGGGCCCTCCCTGGTGGCACAATGTGTTAGGACGCAGCGCTGCAAGCTAGCCACAGCCCCTTCAGCTTGAGTTTGATTCCCGCCCCTTAGGTGACCTGCATGACACATCAGACCTCTCCTGTCTCTCCTGCTGCTCCCCTCAGCAGTGTACTTTGTCAGTCGCCTGCTCTGCTCCCCACTCTGTCAAGGTAAATCCTCGCACTACCCCTGCACCTCTGGCCTGCACCCCAACTCTGTATGCATAAATAAATCTTTAAAAGGAAAAAATAGAACTCTCTGAAGAGGCTGTTAGTAAAAGATACAGGATGCTGTGGGAAATCTCAGAAGCTAGTTTAGCAGAGGGAGGGCAGACCATGGAGCAGACAGCTAATGGACACAGGAGTTCCCTCCCTGCCCCCAATATATAGTTTGTAAATTAAATAAATCACACATTGCAAGCCATTTATAAGGTAGAGGTAGTCTCCAATTCTACCAATATGTTTCACAGTTCCTAGGAACTTGGTGAGTGTGGATGTCATTTTAGCTTAAGGAGTTCTGTCAGAATAAAGAGGGATTCATTCTCTTTTTATCCAGTGTTTCTCTTGCTAATTCGGAAGAAATATACAGGTTAACATTTTAACTCTTCTAAGAGGATTTAAAAATTTAAATTTACAAGGAGTTAAAGTCACCTTTTTGTATATGGTTCTATAATTTTTTACACATGCATAAGGTTTGAAACCTGCTACACAGACCACTTACAGATAATTACAGAAGCCCAAATAATTTCTTTTTGTCACCTCTTTATTTTAAAATCCCCCTCCCGGGTCCTCCCTGGTGGTGCAGCGAGTTAAACAGCACAAAGAAGCTTAAGCCACTTCTGCATGAGTTCGATCCCCGCCTGCCCTGGAGGAGATCCACATGGCGCGGCAGACCTCTCCTGACCCGCCCGCTGCTCCCCTCAGCAGTGTACTTTGTCGATTTGCCTGTTCTGTACCCTGCTCTGTCTCTGGTAAATCCTCTCACCCTCCGCATCTCTGGCCTGTACCCCAGTTCTGTACGAATAAATAAATCTTTAAAAAAAAATCCCCCTCCCACTACTAACCCTTGTGAATCACTGAGCTTTCCTCTATGCCCATATTTTTGCCTCTTCTAGTTTTTGCACGAATGTCGTCTTACAGCCTTTTTGGAATGACTTCTTCTGTGTGGCATAGCCCGTTTGAAGGTTATGTATGTCGTGTGTTCTGGGGTTCACCCCTTTCAGTTGCTAAGTCCTGTGTCATTGTACGGCTATTCCATAGTTGATCCATTTCTCTGGGTGAGCGCCACTGGGTGGTTTCCAGTGTTTGGTGGTTACAGCAAAAAATGCAGTCGCTTAAAAAAAATACATGCAGATTGGGTGTGAATATAGATTTCACGTAACTTGTGTAAATACTAGTGTTAGGATTTGGGTCCTAACTAAGCTGTTTTCCAGAGAGGCTGCACCCTGTGTTCCTACCAGCTCTGCTTGAGAGCTCCTGACCTGGGTTCTCACCAGCATGGTTGGCAGGCAGGAGACTGCCATGAGTGTGCACTGCTGCTCCGTGTGGTTTCGGTTGCCTGACTGACTTGCGAGGCTGCACCTCTTTTTATAAGTGCTCTTGTCATCTGTCTCTTTGATAGAGGGACTGTTATTTTATTGATTATTTTTTCTTGGGCTTGTTGAGCTTTGATTCACAAATATTTTCTCCCACCTGAGGCTTCTCCTTTCCTAAGAGCACTCACTATGTCCTGTGCTAAGCAAACATTTTTTATCTGTGTGAAGTCTAATATATCAGTCTTTATCTTGTGGGTTATGCTTTTAGTGTTGTATCTAAAAACTCTTTTCCAAACCTAAAGTCATAAAGATTTTCTCCAAAGAGTTTTATAATTTTACATTTTACACTTAGATCTTTGATTTTAATTTTGAGTCCATTTTTTTGTATACGCTGAGATTTAGGTTGGTATCTGTTGTGTCTGGATAACAGCATGATTTGTTTTAAATTTTTCTTTTTTCTGTGAATTGTACCTTTTTGAAAATCAGGGGTGCAAATTTGCATCAGTGAATTTCTGGGCTCTCTGTCCTAATACATGTTGTCTTGACTATTAGAGAGTCATAGTATATCTTAACATCGAATAGTATGAATACACTTTTTTCTTCTTTTTTTAAAGATTACTTTTTGCTCGTTAGTTTTTTTTTTTAATCTTAGAATTAGCTTATGTTTCTATATAAAGAATACTTACTGGAGTTTTTATTGGAATTGCATACAATTGATAGATCAGTTGGGGAGAATTGGTATCTAATAATGAATTTTCTTTAATCTCTTTCGTGAGGATTTTTCAGTTTTCAGCATACAGATCCTTAATATTCTAATTTAAACCTTTTACAGACTGAATTATGGAACCGGGAAGTGAGGAAGAACAGTGGGAGAAGCTGGATGCAGAATTTGATCACTTTGTGGTAGATATGAAGCCCTTTGTTTTAAAGTTATCCCATAGGACAGGTAAGATTAAGTTTAAAAATCAAATTCTTGAGATTCTTTTCTCTTTATGTTATTTTGTCAAAGCAATATTATGTCAAAATGGAAAGAAGGTTGAATTCTTTTACTGACAATGTTAATCTTAAGTTGATGGAGAGATATATCGTCTTCAAATCAAGTTACGACTGACAAAAGGGCTTTGTCAAAGTCATTTTCGTGGGACCTAAAAACAATTGTCATTGCAAGATAATATAGTCAATGTGTCATTATATATGGATTGAACTGTGCTATATATTTTTGATTTCTAAAGAGATAATGATTTTTATCAAATCAGATATAAGTAGCGCTCAGTTGTTTTTAAAGGTTACAGCTACAAATCCCTGAAAATTATCGACTTTTATAAATAAAACATTTGAAGTGTAATTGTAGATTATGCTTAATAAAATGCTTAAATAAAGAGATTTTATTTTTAACTCTATTGGCTTGTACAATTAGAACTATAGTAAGGGTTTTCAACACAACTGAAATTATTTTAGAACTGTTTTTGCAGCAAAGTTTTATCTCAGAAATTTATTTGATAGCAATGCAATAATTATATTTTATGAACCTATTTCTTTGCATTTTTCTTGCTTGCTGGCTAATAAACTCTGTACCACAGGTTAGCAAACTGTAACCCCAGGGCCAAGTCCAGTCTGCTGCCTTTTTATAAAGTCTTAGTAGCAAGCAGCACGTTAGTTCTCACGCTCAGCTGCGGTGTTACCTGTGTAGTTGGGCTTGAGACCATCAGCCTGCCCGGCCTGACGTACTTCCTATCTGCCTTTCTACAGAACAAGTTTGGCAGGCCCTCTTTAAGACACCAGCAGATACTGGTACAGTTCTTTCATCATTTATTTTCTGTAAAATAGTCTCTGATAGGCCTATGTATTTCTAGAACGGCAGCGGTGTGCACTTTGGATTAGAAAACTGTGCGAACCTTCAGGAACAGGTGCAGGCGTCACAGGCAGGAAAAATCGGAATCTGTATGCCAAACTGCTGCTGCACATGCTGAAGCGAGGTGTGCTCGAAGGCCCCTTCATACACCGTCCTGAGCCAGGCACGCTGAGAGCTCTACCTTCCTACATGGTAAGTGTTGTCGGCCAAGGGGACATGCGGGTATTCCTTTCCTTTCTTTACAAATGTCAGCTGATCATCACTTTCAGCAATGGCCATGCTTTAAAGTCACAGTGGTAGATAATGTATCTGCTTCTCTCCGATTCGGTTTTTTTTCCACCAGGGGCAGAAATCAGGTTATTAGTCTACAGGAGGGACTATACTTAGTGATTTAGTCATCTCACAGAATTCTTTAATATTGCTGAAAAACTGAAAGTGAGTTTTTCAATATTTAACCTTTATTTCCCTCCGATATCCACTGGTTTATGAAAATGTTCCCTGGATTTCAGTCAATTCTAGTTAAATTCTCTCATTTATTTTATTTAAAAATTCATGAGAGGTTGGGTTAAGTGAGTTCTAAGTTCCTCTCTACTCTAATAAAGTGGCAATTGTAGCCGGAGTTTAGGAATATTTTGCTGTGTTTCATTATCAAAATCAACCATGTTACCAAGATTGTATAACTGTGGTTGGTTGATAAATTGTCACTGTCTTATGCTTTGTGACCATGAAATATATCTTGGTTTGTGTAGTGTTTGAATACTTAAGAAATCTGACTGGAGTACTAAGTATTGTTGTCTGTCACTATTAAGATATATATGGTTTAAAAAGTAAGATTGGATTGCAAAACTCTCGTGTAATGTGTGTTAAGGTTTATTTGTATTTTATTACAGTTTTAAGCAAAATTTAGTTTAGGAGACATGCTCTATACTACAGGAAAATTTCTGTTAATCTTGGCAGAAAGCCATAGACCTTAATGCTGTTATTAACTGTATGCTCAAGTAGAACCATTTTATCTAAATTCAGATAGGTAGTCTTTGGTATATTTTTATATTTATTTTATTTTTGTATATGTTCTTTATATTTTTATAGTAGTTACTTGCCTTGGTATTTGTTTAGACATTGGCGTAGCTATCATTTGAAAAGAAGTTGCTATGCATGTCTAATTTGAGGTAGAGAGTCAAGTGCCACCCCTCCCTAGAGAATAGCCCCTTGAGGGTATTCTGTGTATAACTGGGAAAATTGTTGCATAAGTGTCCAGTCAGCACAGTTTTCTTCTGGAGTATGTCATGAAGCTTCACTCACCTGAAGAGAAATAAATAGGTTAATGTCATTTTTTTTTTAAAATGCAGACAAGTGCTGGGGTGTAGGCCAGACATGTGGGGATGAGAGGATTCACCAGAGGCAGAGTGGGTAGCAGAACAGGTGGACTGACTGAAATACAGTGCTGAGGGGAGCAGTGGGGAGACAGGAGAGGTCTGCTGTGCCCTGTGGTCAGCTGCTTTGCTTGGGGATTGAACTCATGCTGCAGTGGCTGCTGATAGAGTCATAGTGCTGAGACTGACTGGTTACTGTGCCACCAGGGCGGCCCTAATGTCATTCTTCTTAATGACTAAATATAACATTTTATGAAACAGATGTTAAAATCTGAGTTTATGATGTCATATTTTCTCATTAACACTCAATTATATAGACTTGTTGGGAAGGACTTTCTTTTATAAATAATGATGAGGAGGAGGAGGAAAAAGAGGAGAAGGAAGAATGTGAGAAGGTCTGGAGACCTGGCTTGGATTTTCCAGGTAACTAAATCCCAGGTCTTCAGCTCCCTTGTTTCTACCTTATCAAGGGATTTTTAATTTTGAAACACTTAACATGTGTGTGCATGTATGCAGAGCAGTTAATGATCATAGAGAGAAATAGGAGAGAACATTATTAAAAAAAGTTACCTTTCATGAAACTAATTCTATTTTTGTAGTAAAAGTAATTATTATCAGATCTTTTGTTGTGTAATTTTATCATTGATCACATTTCTTATATAGCAGAAAACAGCTAAAGTGCAAATGTTCTCCATTATGTGTTTTCATATTAATGGAAATCTTAAATAATTATTTGATTTTAGCATGTTGATTTTAGTCATTGGAAAGGTTATCAAACTTGAAACTTGATGGAAATCTTAAATAATTATTTGATTTTAGTACATGTTGAAAGAATAATTTTTCTAATTTTTAAAAATCAGTCCATCTATTTTGATGAACCAAATCCAGCACGAGCCAAAGGTTCAAGTCCAGAAGGATTACCAGACTGGGTAATGGGTGAGCTTGGGACCAGTGAACACAAATTAAATGAATCATGGAAGTTTTCCTCTGGAGAAGATTATTCTTTGATACAGTCACCAACTGATGTCCACAGGTAGGCTATGAGGTGGATTTCAAATGTCTTTAGACGAAAGCCTGGTTTATTCCACTTTGCCATTTTTATGGTTAGTTGTTGGTTTACTTTATATTTTTATAAAAATTAAGGGTTATTGATAGGTAAGATAGTAGTTTTGCTTTCCATTTACTGTATTTTTTAAAAAGATTTATTTATTTATGGATTTACAAATGAATTTTACCAAACATTCAGAAAAGAACTAGTGCCCATTCTGCACAGACTCATCCAAAAAATTGAAAAAGAAGGAAAACTACCACAAACGTTCTACGAAGCCAACATCACTCTAATACCAAAACCTAACAAAGAAAACACAAAAAAAGAAAACTTCAGACCAATCTCCCTAATGAACA